GCCACTGCCTTCCTCCTCGTTAGCATCAGAATTTTTAGGTTCTCCAAATCTGGCATTCACCATAACATACAAATGTTCTCACGAATAGGCTGGTAAGGTCCCCGGACACCACATGTAAGTTAATGATGGGTGTTCAAGTGACTGCTAATCCAGAACCATCTGACCAAGTCAGGTGGCCTTCCCTCGTGGAGAGGACGCAGAAGCCTGTCTGAACAGCATAGTGTCGTGTTTGCAGTCCTCAGCATTCTGGGCAGGAGGAGGCTTTTGAGAAGCCTCAAAAACCACCGCAGCAGGAGGCAGGGAGACAAGCTGGGGTGTAGGGGCTGCTTGCTCTGTCCTCAGTAATAGTTTTGTGTTCTTAGTAAGTTTTGATGGAGAAAGAATAAAAGGACTCTCAGTGGTCATACATCTTCCTAGAGAACTGCTTTTGAAGGAGTGTCTCTTTCTTTCAGGACACCATGGAATTCATGCGAAGCTTTCAGTCAGAAGCCCCGCTGAAGAGAGGTGTTGTCTCAGCCCAAGACGCTTCCCTTCAGGAACGAGTGTTAGCTCAGGTAGATGCTGCTGTCCTGAAGGGTTCCCAGGAAACTGGTCAGCTTCTAACTGGAGACTCAGGGTTGGAAATGTATGTCTCTCTTCATTTAAACAGGGAAAATAGGATTCAATGAAAACTCCTGTGTGCTCTTATTCTAAATGTAAGATGTGCACACAATATGCATCGTATCACTAAATTGTAGCCTCATCTTTTAAGTGCAGACAACATTTTCTTCTTTCACACCCAGTTGCGAGCTGCCCTGTATGGTATTCATGACATCTTCTTCGTAATGGACGCAGCTGAGAGAATGTCAATCCTCCGCCATGATCGAGAAGCCCGCAAAGAGAAACTGCTGCGGCAGATGGTATGTGTGCCACATGGCTTTCTGATGGAGGGGCTTTTCTGAGCTTGGTGATGGAGGCTTCGTGTCAGTCCCAATGGTTCTGAAGCCAGATGGTCCCCAGGATGCCCAGCACCACCGAGCTCTGTAGTGAGCGCCACAGGAACCACACAGGGAAAGACTCCTGTACTGCGTTGTCTTTGGGTTTGAGGCCTCAGACCTTGACTGTTTTGTTCTGGTAGCTCATAGAAAATGTCAGCTGCTCTAGGCTGAGCTTTCCTAGCACATGCATACAGACTTTGTCATTTTTTTTTAATGGCCTCTAGAAATAGATTGCATAATGCTTTATTAACCTTGAATTTTCTCAATGCTGGTGAGAAAGGAACAACAGCTGCAGAGAGACATTGGACAACAGAAAAAAAACTCCTTAGCTAAATCAACCCGTTTACTTCAATGATATGTTGACCTCAGAATGGAAACTAGAATACATCCTGTGTTGGGGAAGGGGTTTTGCTTTTTTTTTTTTTAATTTTTATTTTTAAATTTTATTTATTTTATTTTACAATACCATTCAGTTCTACATATCAGCCACGGGTTCCCCTATTCTCCCCCCTCCCACCCCCTCCCCTTACCCCCAGCCCACCCCCTATTCCCACCTCCTCCAGGGCAAATCCTCACCCGAGGACTGCGATCAACCTGGTAGACTCCGTCCA